GCCTGGAGAATCCCACGGACAGAGGAGCCTGGTGGGCTGCTGTCCATGAGGTTGCAAGGAGTCGGACACGGCTGAGTGACTGAGGACAGCACAGCACACAGGGTAAGGAGTGGTCTGCAGAGAATATTCCTTTGTTAGTAAGTCGTGGGGCCAGAGCTGGGTCGTTTCTGTGAGCCTGATCACAGGGAGGCAAAAATGAGTTCTGATGTGGCTGAGTGCTTGAAAACTATTATTTTGGGGGGAGAAAAGTCTAGAATTTCTCTGAAACTGTTTTTAAGCCACTAAACACATTTTCCTCCTCGGTCTCTCAGTACCTGCTTGAGGTTGCAATGTGTGGAAAGTTCTCAAAAGTTATGCTGAAAAATCACCCCAATTCTGATCTTCTTGGACTTATTCTGCTGTCCTTTCTTGACCTTTTTCAACCCCTATTTTTATTCCAGGGGTGGTTTCTTCTCAGGAAGGCTGTAGCCCATGGAGATTAAATTTGGCTCAATCCTGCCCCTTTACTGAAAATTCACTGTTTCTGTTCCAAGTCCAATTCTTGAGGCTACCTCAAGCATAAGCAGGATGAGAAGTCATACTTGAATTAGAGCCAGATGAAAATATCCAGAATAACCAGTTATTCTCTGTGATTGAAGCATCATTTCCAGAGGACTTGGTCTGGATGCAAACACGTTCCTTCATTCAGGAAACATTTATTGAGTGCTTCTCTGAGCCTTGCACTATGCCAGAAGGGCTAAATCACATGCCCACTGGCAACTAACAATACCGAACACCTAGCTTTTACCCTTAATCACATCTGTCATCGTGGTGCACAGTTGAGCATCTGCTTCAGAGAACAGGACTTGAGGTCTGAGATTTACAAATGGTCGATAAAGGTCTCCTGCCAAGATGTGATTAGCCCAGAAGGAATTAGAGGAGTGGTGGATACGATCTTACAACACAGAATCCTGGGTATACAGGGCAGTAGAGAAGGGATATCCAAAGAAAGTTATTCCTAGTTGTATGTTTGACCTCACGCTGAGACTCCACTTTGCACCACAAGCAGAGGGTATATTCTTTCTTACATCTGGTTAGGTCCAGCTGCAATGGTTGCACACACACATCCATCCTGAACATCCCAGAGGACTGTCTATACCAGTAGAACCTGTAAATGCTACATTTTTAGTAATTGAAAGGTCCTAAAAGTACATGCAGCTGGCAGGATGTTGGGAGTTTCCGTGCAAGGTCAGGACAGCCTACCCTCACTTGGGAGGACAAAATCATGCAAAGGGGAGGATCTTGCAAAAGGAAAGGGAAAACATCCCTTCCTTCTAGATTTTCATTGCCAACAAAAGAAAGGGGAAATATCAATATCGTTTCAGCTGGCTGACAAAGGGTGAAACGTCCCAGGCAGGGAGCTGTGCAGCTCAAGGAGAATTAATTTTGTAGTTTGCTGCCAATTTTCTCCTTGCCCACAGGTCCCCCACAGAAATGCTGAAGTCTTAGTCACATACTGGGTGGATGAAGTGAACAAATAGCCTGCTGGGGGCAGCTGGGATTGTGGTCGTCTGCTTTGGAAGGCAGTCAAGGAGTAATTAGGCGTGGGTCTCCCCCCATCCAGTCTGACAGTCTGGAAGGCTGGTGGCAGCAGGAGGAGCTAGCAGAGGCCCTTGGGTAGCAGGAGCATTTGCAAGGCTGTGAGGCTTCCCAAGTTAGGCGTCTGGTATTATTTTTCTGGTATTATTTGTCCGATCACTTGCTTCCTGTAGCCCTTACATCAGTGCTGCTAAAATCTGGCTGATGATCAGAGTCATAGGGGGAACATTTTTCCTAAACAGTGTGTGTGTGCTGTCAACCTCCACCGTAGATTCTGTGAGTAAGAATTTCTCATGGTGGTTATCAACCGCATATAGTTTCAGAAACATTGCTCAAGTATTTCTAATGATCATCCAAGTTTTGCCTCCACAATCTAAGATGGGATGATAGGACTTTAACTAGAGAGGTTGCCCATTGAGGGGTAAAGCCATGGGAAAGGAAATGTTTTTCTGTTGCTGCATGCATACCTGGAGGGTTCTAGATTAAATGAGAAAGTTAGTCTTCTATTACTTTCTTCAGAGTGCCAGCAATCCAGCCACACACCACCACTGGTGGTTGCCTTGGTTACAGCAAATACTTCTGTGAAATCCGCTGGATGTAGATGGATGGTCCTCCCTTTGCCAGTTTGGCAGAGCTCCATCCTAGGCCACAGTTATAAGGGAACATCTTCCACCGGAAACACTGCAATCGGCAGGCTGTTGTATATACAGATGGAAATGTCAATAGGTTAATATTTAACACACTTTTTGCAGTTTTATTAAGAAATGATTACCGTACATTATCATATAGCTTAAGGTATAACACTTAAAGGTTCGATTTACATATACTGTAAAATGATGACCACAGTAGGTGGGCTTCCCTGGTGGCCCAGAAGGTAGAGAATCTGCCTTTAGAAGAATTGAGACCTGGGCTCAATATCTGGGTCAGAACTGGAGACGGGAATGGCAACCCACTCCAGTATTCTCGCCTGGAGAATTCCATGGACAGAGGAGCCTGGCTGGCTACAATCAAGGGGGTCACAAAGAGTCGGACACCTTGAGTGACTAACACTTTTACTTTCATCATCTCATATAGATAAAATATTAAGGTTTTTCTTACATATCATACAGCAATGTTAACTATATTCAGTGTTGTACATTATATCCCTAGTACTTATTTATCTTATAACTGAAAGTCTGTACCTTTTAAATAATTACCTTCAAATCCCTCTTTCCCCAAACCTTGCCTGCAATCTGATCTCTTTTTCTATTAATTTGAAGTGGTGGTTTTGTTTGCTTCTTTTTTAGAATTCACAAACAGGTAAATAACAATACTAAATTTTTACCTATCAATAATTATTTTCATATAAATGGATAAAATTTTCTAATCAAAAGACACAGATGGCTGAAGGGATAAAAAAATAATCAATGATATGCTGCCTACAAAAGACTCACTTTGGTCTTAAAAGCACATATTGACAGAGAGATGGAATGGAAAAAGACATTTCTTACTTTGTCTTAGACTTTTGACAATCTAATTATGATGTGTCTCAGTGCAGACTTATTTTGATTAAATCTATGTGCTATCATTTGAGCTGCATAGGTCTAAATGTCCATGTCTCTCCCCAGGTTTGGAAGTTTTCAGCCATTGTTACTTTAAATATACTTTATCTTTCTCTCCTTTTGGAATTCCCAGAATACAGGTATTATTTCTTCTCACGGAGTCCTGCAAGCTTTCCTCACTTAAACTTTGCTCTTCTGACTACATAATTCCCACTGTCCAGTCGCCCAGGTCCCCGTTTCTTCTGCATAGTGAAGTCTGCTTTGAAAATTTCTGTTGAATTCTTCAATTCAGTTACTGTGCTTTTCAACTCTAGAATTTCTCTTTGGGTCATTTCAATGGTTTTCATTTCTTTCTTGAACTTCTCATGCATCATATTCCCAATGTCATCTAGAGGACTGTATTTGTGTTCTTGCAGTTTGCTAAACTTTCTTAAGAGGATTATTCTGAATTCTTTGCCTGATAGTATATAGATTTTTTTTTTTTTAACTTTAGAGTCAGTTATCAGCCCTTTGCTAGTTTTCTTCAGTGATGTTGTATTGATCTGATTTTTTGTGACTCTGATTCCTTGGGTTGATTAATAAAGTTCAGTTCAGTTTGGGTTTCTGGGCAAGAGAGGGCTCCCATTATGGTCTCTTTGGGGTGAGGCAACTGTCTGAGCTGAGGCCTGGGCTGGCCAGAGTACTGGCTGAGGACAGCCGCCCAGGACCGCTGGCTTGACTCCCTGGATGAGTGACGCTATAAGATGCGCTCTCTCCCTTGTCAGTGTTTCGGGTGGCTGGGGCTGTGTACTCTACTGAGGACATGAATTAGTTTCCCTCATCCATGAGCTAGGGCCATGAACTAGTTTCCCTGCCTTGGCCGGGCGGAAGAGTGGGATCTGGGGCCTATATGGCTTCGTTTGAGCCGCTGAATCAGGCAAGAGTGTGCGCTGAGCTCCCTGGTCAGGCAAAGTCGCTGGTTCTGCTCGGCCAGCGGGGAGGCCACGGGCTGAGCTCCCCTCCCAAGCGTCACTTTAAGCGGGGCCGTGGGGCGGGCTCATCCCTTCTCACAGGCTACACGCATCCTGGTCGAGCAGGAGGACGACTTAGTGTCCCTGTGTGCGTGTGTGTGCAGCGGTGGAAGCAGCTCTAAGCCAGGAAAAGCCTTGGGCGTTGTCGTAACTCAGGCTGACTCGCACCCCGCGTTCCTTGGCTGATCAGGACCGCTGGCTTTGCTCTTCAGACCATCAGCTCTGCCTGCCTACTGCTTCAGTGCTGCTGTTAAATATAACTTCCAGGTTTGGGTTTTTTCCTATCCCTTCTGGTCAGATGGAGCTTGGAGACACTTGCAACAGTTTGAGCTGTCTTGGTTCCCTTGCCTTGGCTGGATGGGGAGGGGACACACCAGGTTTCTGCCAAGCTCTCCCGAACAAGTTTCTGGCTGGAGGAGTTGCAGATACACTCAGTCTGAGCTATCAACCCCCTTGCCGGGACATAGCAAGGAAGCCCTGTATACCCAGTCCTGGATCTAGTCTGGAGTTACAAGCTCCGCCTGGCCACCTCTCAGCTTGAATATTGCTGGTTACACAGCTTCCAGAAACTCTTACCAGTCCTTTGAGTCCAATGGGGTCCCCACAGCCAGAATGGGTGGTGTTAGTTTCAGCTCATATGCCTGGGCAGGATAGGGAAAGGCCGATTGTCCTCAAGCAGGCTTTCTCTTCGGAAGAAGCTGGGGGCTACCTTAAGCCTTGGCTATGAATCATTCCTCCTGAGTGCAGTGGGGGGACCACCCATACCCGGCATTGCCTTTGCGTTCCGGGTGCTCAGCTTCACCTGCCAGCATCTCAGCTTGAATGTTGCTGGACTTCAGAGCTTCCTGGCGTCTGGGCCGCAGCTCTGGCCATGTGGGGGCAGACCTCTCTCCACAGTGGGTGGGGCTACGGCGCGGGCAAGCCAGGCTCTGGGGCCAGCGGAACTATTCGAGGACCACCGTCAGGCAGCTCTGCGCCTCCGTGAGTTCCCCGGGCAGGATGCGCCACCCACTTGGTTGTCTAGATGGACAAAGCCGCCGGTGGTCACTGTACTGGGACACTGCAGGGATGGATTCAGCCGGCCAGGATCCCTGTGCTGTCTGATACACGCCGCTGCGCCAGTGCGCACCACGGTCAGATTCCCGCAGCTGAGCCCAGATCGGCCTGCCGCTACACTGAGCAAGACCAGGCCAGGCCTTGCATGCTGGGGTGCCTGTGTCTCCTCGGGGCTGCGTTTTCCCACCGGAGAGGTGAGGGCCTCGCGGGGGGAGTCTCAGGGAGGAGGCGCATCCCGGGGACCGGCTGTGTTGTCAGGCGCCCTCGCTTCCCTCCCTCGGAAGGCGGTGCGCTCCGTGTCCGGTGTCCGCGGGGCAGGGGCCGGCCTCCCCCTCCACTGTGTCCCGGAGTCGCTCGGTGACTCAGGGCGGCTGTGAGGCCTTCTCCTTGCGAAGAGGGGAGATCGGCGGCAACCTATGGGGCCGTCCTGGGGACTTCATCTCTCTGAGAATAATTACGTCCATCCTCTGAGTAAAGCAGATTCTCCTCCATGATGCCCGCAGGCTTCATCCAATCAGGCCTCGCGAGCGAACCCCGAGTGTCCCCCAAAAGGAAGGAATTCTTCCTCCAGAGTGTAACCTAAAAATTCTGCCTAATTTTCTAGCTTTCAGACTCAAAACTACAATATTGTGGGGAAGGAAAAATAATTTTTCCTGCACCATTCCAGATTATTGGCTAAAAGACCCCTGTAATAAAAGACAAATGAACAGGAGAAAAACAGAGGTTTAGTAACAAGCATTCCTCTTGCATATATGAGAGATAACATAAGAAAACTGAAGAACTCTTTAAAATGGCCCAAGCCACCACCTTAAATACCATCTTCAGCTAAAGACAAAAGATGTTGCAGAGAGGGTGCCAGTTATGGGAGATATTTGGTAAAGCACAGCAAATGAGGGTGTGGTTATCACACACACTTAACACAGCACCTTCTCTATTGATAAGAATTCTAGGGACTTGGTCATTCTCCATTCCTGACAGACCAAATGACCATTCCTGATAGAGGGAGACACCCTTAAAAAGAGAGGTTCCCATTAAATATATAAATGTCTCTAACAGAAGAGTAAGTTCTCAATTTTCATGGCCTTTTCTATACTTAAGTTTCTTTAAAATAACCAGCTCAAAATAAACACTATGCCCCAAAGGCATGTTCTAAGGTGGTATATTCAGCTCCTTTTCAGTTCTCACCTGTGAAACTTTCAATAAAGAGTTTCACAGTCCAGAACCAAACAGCTAGATGCAGCACATCTCACTGAACTGGTCTCCCAGTCCTGAGAATCAGTCATCCCAGCTAGGCAGCTGGGTCTCTCATTTCAGGAGGCAGACTTGCAGGTGAGCTTTTCAACTTAGGCCTGTCTGGTGTGAGCAGTGGGGATTTCATAAGAGGCCTTTCAATGGAAATACAATTCAGAAAAAGGTTAATTGTCAGGGAAGGCTATATGTGTAATCTGAGTCTTGGGAACTGCTGGTCCAAACGATCTCCAGATGTTGTGATCAGAGCATCTTTTAATGCTTCTGATGGTGTCATTATGTGCTTAGGTGAACTTTCTGAGTGGCCCGCATAGCAACAGGCATGAGGATTTTCTAAAAATGAGCTAACATCTCTGAAATTTATATCAAGACATTCTCATTCAATTTTCAAGACTGCAAGGAAGAGGACAGTTTTTGTTCTTAGTGACTCCAAGTCCAAAGTGGGAGAGAAAATAAGGAGGTGCTAGTTTGCAGATCCATAGAATGCTTAAGGAAGTGATAATTTAGGGTCCAGTCCAGTTTATGGGTAGAAAACAAAACTTCAAAGATGGTAACAACATTAGAATTTAACATCTATCAAGGAGCAAACATACTGTGTTTTCTCTCTTTCTCTCAAATCACCCACATTTCTACCAAAGGTAATCATGGTAAAAACTAATTTGTTTGCAAATTATGTCTAGTTTCAATAAACTTGACCCGGTTATTTACATAAGTGCAGCAAGAATAACTGTGGACCACATGTGCTAAGTGGCTTCAGTTATGCTGTGTCCGACTCTTTACGACCCCGTGGACTGTAGCCCACCAGGCTCCTCCATCCATGGGACTCTCCAGGCAAGAATACTGGAGTGGGTTGCATTTCCTTCTCCAGGGTATCTTCCCAACCCAGGGATAGAACATGCATCTCTTACATCTCCTGCATTGCAGGTGGGTTCTTTACCACTAGTACCACCTAGGAAGTCCATATAGAATATATCAACCATATAGACTCTTTTAAATGAGACTTAATGAAACTTTGAATAAGGAATCTCAGACTGAACATTTGAAAGTACTAAAGGCTAGGAAGCCAAGACAAGGCAAGTCTCGCCGTCTGATTTTGCCTATAATATTTAAAGATTTGGGTAAATTCCTCTCTTATTTAGGTCCACAAAACATCTCAAAATTCCTGGGCTGCCAGGAAGTGAGCTTTTTAGTCAACTGGTAAGGCTACCATGAACCCTGTAAGCAAGATATCAGGATGTTTTCCCAAGAGGCTTTATTGGCTCTGTAAAGTCAACCTGAGTCCCTTGAAGCTGCCTGGTTATATCTAAGTCTATGTACATCATTCTCAAATACAACATTCCAGTCAAAGTCTTGGAAATATAACCAACATTTCCAGCTGTGTCCTGTTACAAGCGGGCAAATTCTTATTGGATTTATGTAAATAACTTATGTAAATGCTCACTAGAAGTCTTCAAATTCTGGAGGGATTAGTCAGGGAGAAAAATTAAATGTTTTATCTTAGTTCACAAAGATAAAATTTACCAGATTGCTGTAAAATATAGTTTAAGAGAAAGTTTTCTTAAATCTGGAAAAACACAATATTAAAGAAGCAGCAATAGCTTCAATTAAAACTCATGTGCATTATAGCCACCCTTATCAGTTTATTCAACCCCATGAAATTAATTCTTGTTGATTTTTATCTTTTGTTAGCAATTTTATCAATCCAGTTTTTTCATAAAAGTCTTATAAATTTCTTACTCAGTTCAATTTTATGATTTAAAGATTTTCAGAAACCTGTATCTAGAGTACTTTTTCGAGTCCTTTCTATGAATCTCTCTGAAGATGAAACACTTCCACAAAAGCATCTGAATTAAAAAAAAAAAAAAGCATATCTATGAATGACAAAAATACTTAAAAATGCCCATGGTTAAAATCTGATTAGAGTTTATTACAATGCAGTTGACAAAGAAATTTGCTTATGCCTGTGACACACATTTCATGATAATAAACAGAATTATGACTGATAACTTTATACCAGGACATATATTAATTTTATGTATTACATATAACAATTTCTGGAATACATAATATATACCAATAAAAATACAACTTAAAGAAGTCTTAGTATTACTTCTTTGACAATGATTTCCATATAATTTAATACAGCAAATAAGCCTAATTAGTTAATATACCTCTCTTCTTTTTTAATAAGAAGAGAGAACAAATCTTTTGAGATGTTTTAGGGACCCTGTGGAAAATCCCAAAATTAATTCAGTGTCAACCAGAATTCATTTAAAATTTGATTTTGGAGGTTTATCAAAAATAGAATAGTTTTAGCCATTGACTAAAAAGGAACACACATCATTTAAAAATAATATTTAATGACAGTAAGTTTTCAAAGGAAAACACAAAAGATTAATAGCTGTGAGCAAAATTTAGCTGTTAATATTAAGACTCAGTTTTCCTGAATAGTCAAAAATCTGATAAAGTGCAGGAAATTATTTTGATAAAACAGAAATATTTTGCTTTCTATATAGATTACTTCAAAGCTAAAGAAAAAGTTTTTATAACTCCTTTTCAAGAGTAGAGCAATAGTCCAACAAAACTTTGTTATTTTAGCATGTATATAAAAATTAAGCTTTAGCTTTACTTAAGTACAGTGTTTATACTAAAGTTTCTTTTAAAAACTTATAATACACTCATTAAGTTTTTGCCAGCTTGGTCACACAGGAGAAATTCTCTCCCTCTCCTCTCTCTTTCTCCCCAGCCCCTAATATATTGACTCTGTCCTTTATTACCCCTTTCCCACTCAGAAACAGCTTCTTTTATTGTAGGACAAATTACTTCCATTTCACTTAACAAAAATACATTTCCAAATCTCATAGGTTTTCCTACTCTAAAACATATTCTACTTTCTTTATATACAGAGCTGTTTCACTTATTATTTCCAGTAGTTTGAATTATACATATTAATTAGAATTACTAACCTATAGGAAAAATAGATGAAGGGAACTAAGAGGTACAAACTGCCAGGTATAAAATGAATAATTAGCAGGTGGGTAATGTACAGCCTTGTCTTATTCCTTTCCCAAATTTGAAGCAGTCAGCTATTCCATGTAAGGTTCTAGCTGGTTCTTGGCCCACAGACAGGTTCCTCTGGAGACAGGGAAGGTGGTCTGGCCCCATCTCTTTAGAGTCAGTTTCTTGTGATCTGCTCTTCAGTGGCCATAGGACTGGAAAGGTCACTTTTCATTCCAATCCCAAAGAAGAGCAATGCCAAAAAATATTCAAACTACTGCACAGTTGTGCTCATTTCACATGCTAGCAAGGTAATACTCAAAATCCTTCAAGCTGAGTTTCAATGGCACATGAACAAAGAACTTTCAGATGTACAAGCTGGATTTAGAAAAGGCAGAGGAACCAGAGGTCAAATTGTCAACATCCATTGAATCATAGAAAAAAACAAGAGAATTCCAGAAAAACATCTACTTCTGCTTCATTGACTACGCTAAAGCCTTGAACTTTAATACAAAACTCACTAGTTTATATTATACATAACAGTCAGATTCAAATTGTGTTTCTGGCGTTTTACCCTTACAGATGGCCAAAGTTTTTTTCAGATTGTTAAGGAGAAGCTAGATTTTTCATTAGCCGAGTTCCCCAAAAGCTCTTTTGTTTTTCTCATGAAAATCATTTCCCTAAAGTTTACATTTGAAAGAAGTGGCTCTTAGATCCCAAAGAAAATGGCATAGAAAAATCTATATCACAAAGGCACAAAAATAGTATACAAACTTTCTCCTAGGAGTTTTCAGGGTATATTTGCAAATAATCAGATGTCTAGAATAATTACTATTTAAATGTTTCCTTCCCTTTCTTGAGTGTGAGATCATTCCATTTCCAACATCCTGAAACTTGTAGGAACGTTGAGAGAAACAGTTCAGTATTTGGGGTTGGTAAAAGGAGAGTCAGGCTTTACTTCTCCAGCCACATTTCTCATTTTGTAAAGATTTGTAAGGAAATATAGTTGCTTTTAATTCCTCTAGTAATTGGATTGCAGCCTTAATGATGTCATGGGGCTGACTTGCCCATCCAAGTACATTATCTTCAATTTGCTTCTTTATATCAAGAAGACTTTCAACTAAAGTGGAAA